TATCCTGCACTTACAGGAAGCCTCCGGGATAATAATGGCAAATATTCTAAAGACTGAGTCCCAAACTTCACTTTAAACTCAGTTATTTATCACAAATGGGCAACACTGTCAATTTAATCTTAGTACTGAGGTTTTGGTTTAGAAATAACAACTCTACAGAACATATTTTATCTTAAAAACATAATATGCAGGCAATAGGTTGACCACCTCTGCATCATGTGACAGGTAGGAGGATGTGGTGTGCATCTGTACATTGTACATGTCCCTATGGCTGTGGCATATGGCTTTTCTGACTCTCCCTAGGCCATGCGTTTCTATAAAACTGGGTTCTGATTTCTGCATAGGAGCTTGCCAAGGAAAACAATTTTTCCAGTGGAAATCTTGCATTGAAGGATTCTAGGGATCAAAGCAAAGGTAGACTCCAGTTCTTGTCTGGCTTTATTCCCTTCACTTCTGCCCATTAACAATACACCCCATGTTCATTCTCTCCAGGCTCCCCTACATATATTAAAAAGACCTGATAAACTAAAGCATCTCCTGATCCATTACTTGGACCATCTAAAGAAAGAGGAGCTACAGAAGTCCCACCTTTGGCTCAAGAATACAGCACCCCATAGGATCTTTTCTACCACAACAGCACAGAAGCTAAATGGAACAGAGGTGGCTTTAGACTTGGTGGCTCAGTACAGGGAGCAACAGGCATGGGAGCTGGCCCTCCACACCTGGGAGAATATGGGTCTGATCTTTCTATGTGATAAGACCAGGGAATAAGCATCGTTGATATTGGGTAAGTAGCAAAAGGCACTCCATATGAACTGACCACACCATATGGACTGATGCACACTCCCCAACCAGGTCTTCCTCCATGTACTAGGAGGGACTGCAATGTCAAAAGAAGATCCATGTTCATGCTAAGGTAGAACTGGGAGGCTTACTGGCTTGCACACTGGACCCCAGAATCCAAAACCCACATCCACTTGACTCCATTCCTGGGCCTGCACTGATCCTCAAGAACTGGGAGTGATGGTTATCGAGGTGGACAGAAGGGAGAAGACAGTGTGACATTATGAAGGGTGCTGGGACAGGTTGGCATAGTGTTCGTGCACATGAGGAACATTTGCCCCATATAATGCTTATGAGAGTAGACCTGAGAGCTTTGATGGGGCAGGTCCTAGTCCTGGCACTATAAGCCTGTGAAATTCACTTCATCACTTTCTTCACCTATAAAGTGGGAGAATAAGAGCCTGACCCCATGGGATGTGTGCAGGTGAAGAAAGATGAAGCATGTGAAGCTTTTAACAGAAAATATTATACAATATACAGCATATATGTGCTATTGCTGTTACTGCTTCTCCTACTATTACTACTTGTAGCCCTGAGACTCAGAAGCTCCTAGTCCCATATTGTACTACATGTGTTTGTGGATTAATCTATATAAGGTTCACAGGTGACTCCTAAAGTTGTGTGCTGAGAGAGGGGACATAAATGACATAAGGAACCAAATGTTGGTTCCCAGGCTTCTGCTGCTGCCCCTTCTTGTGACCCAAGCTCTCTGTATCCTCACAGAGATACAGAGGATACAGAAAGCTTACTCTCCTTATTCATTCTCCTTTATTCACTTACTGTCCTTTAGTCACTGAATCTGCAGGTGCACCTGACTCATCACTGTCCTCGTGTTCCTTTTTGATTCATGAGCCCCTGCCAATGCTCAAACCAGGGACTCATGAATCAGAGAAAGATTTTCCAATTCAAACATCTGTACAACCTGCACACATAGAAGGTAAGACACTGACTAGGGTTGAGAGCCCTGGATGGGTCTGTGAGTTGGCTACTGATTCTCATAGGTAAGCTGTACCTACATGGGACCTGGGCTGGAGGGCTACAGAGAAAGGATTGAGTTGTAAGGAGCTTCTGAGTGTAATAGGGCTGCAAATGGTTTTGAGGGGATGTTCCTGTGCTAAGGATATTCCTCTATGCATTTCACAGATGGAAGTATTGAGACCTATGAGAGTTGGGCCCTGGGTCTCACCTTATTGAGGAAGAGCTCAGATCATAATTTGGTGGGTGTTCTTGATCCCTGAAGTAAAAGGGGTTCAGAAGTCCAAAAGTGGATTTTATTCTCCAGATAGAATCCAGGAAGAGCCTGCTCCCATTCCTCAGCCCCACACAATCCCTACACCTGGTTTCTCTTATTTTGGTCTCCTGTCTCAGTCACCAAGTCCAGGACAACAAACCTAGCCCAACCCTCATCTGTTCCTCTTCTCACGACCCCTTTAAAGTGGTCACCACTTCTGAGTGCAGAGAGTGCTGAGTACAGAGAGAAGTTCACTTGTTCAGGATCACCAAGCACTTAGAGGCAGAGCTGGGTTAGAAACTCAGACATTCCATGCCAGCAGAATTGCTTTTCTACTGGACCCTGGCACTGGTTTTTGAAAGTCCCACTTCCCCTCCCTTATCTTCCTCCTTCTCTTTCTGCCAAATCTCACCCTTCTCCACCCCAGCGTGGAAGTCCTGGTATTTTCACTTCCTTCAGGCTTCTCTCTGCAGTCAATCCTTGACGTACAACATGGAACAAGTTGCTCCACCCTTCTATATCTCATTTTCCTTATTTGAGCCTTTCTACAGCCTCCTCTGCATTCTCATGCCACTATCACCCCCCTGTACAGAACTGGCCCTTCTGTTACCTGTACATGAAACATGTACTTGAATAAAAGTTTGATTAAATGTTCTACTACATAGATAGTGGATTCTACTGCTCATACATCTTTCCATATATCTTCCTCTTAGGCCCCATGAGCATGCTTCTTCCCTGCCTTTCCATTTACAATAGGCTTCTTAGCCATCCTTTCCCTGCTCTACAGCACAGAGCAATTCTTCTCTGCTTCCACCATGCATGGTTAGCATCTCAGAGCCTAAGAGGTCTGCACCTGGCAACAAGTATGAACCAAATCACCAAAGATGGCATAAGTAACTTCACTGCTACATGAAATAGAAAGTGCAGTATGTTCCCCACCAGAACTGGTTTATCAAACTCTTCCTACCTACTGCACTCTGTACTTCCTCCATAATTTCAGATCATATACTAAGAAACAAAATTCTTTATTTGTCTTAAGGTGGCTTTAAAAATATTAGCAGCCATCTCATGTGATTCAGAAAATGACAAAAAAGTATAGTTCAACCAAGGGGATTGAAATGTGTGTCTGACCACAGATCCATGAAAAGTGAATTTGACACAAGAGCTAGGATCGCTTATGTCATCTCAGAGTCAGGGCCCAAGAAACAGAGACCAGGAGTACGACCCTGAGCAGCCATCCTATGGCCTTAGAAAATATTCACATTGTCAGAAATGTGCCCACCAAAGAAAACAAAACAAAAAGAGGTAGAGAGTATTATTTAATATGAAAAAAGACCCTTTGAATCCCCAGTTTCCCAAAGCCTAAAATTGTCAGTTGATCTCACAGTCTGAATTCCCCGAGATCTTCACAAGCATGCTTGCAAAAGCACTATAGGCAGAAATAGAGAGTATTTGGAGCTACCTCCACCATTACCTGGGAATGTCTGGCCTTCAGCATTCCCAGCAGGTAATCTGCATCATGTTAAAATTCACCTAAAGGGAGAAATGAGAGAAATTCAACATTTGGAGAAGAACAACGTGGAGGTGAATTTTCATAATTGCTCCACTTAGAATCTTAATGAAATGAAACCTCAGTTTTTCAAAAGTCACCAGATCTTCCTATTTGCCACAGATTGAGGTTTCTCAGAAGCAGACTCTGAGATGGGAGATGATGGTGGGCAGTTTATTAGGAAGGAGATTTCTGGATGCACTAATGGAGGGAGTGGAGGTGAGGCAGAAAAGAGGGAAATATAGCAAGGCTGCATCATGGAGCAGTTCACACCTGCAACAGTATCTTAATCTACTTTAAATGTCTATGATAGAATAATTGAGATTCTGTGACTTTAAAAGAAAACAGGTTATTTTCCTCACAGTTTGGGAAGTTGGAAGGACAATGTCGGATGAGTCCATCTGCTTAATTTCTGATGAAGAACTTGTGCTGCTCTATGTATGGCAAAAAAATAAGAAAGAAAGAAAAGCAGGTGTCCACAGAAGAGAGGAAACTGGCCCCAGTGTCTTCCACCAGAAAGCTCTATCCATTTATTAAGAGCACACCTTCATAACCGAAAGTGCATTGCTGCATCTCTGCCTCCTAACACTGCTACCACTGGCAACCATATTTCAATATGAGGTCTACTTAAATGGTGTACACCCAACCCATAGCAGCAACCGAGTTTGATGCTCCTGAGGATGCCTGGGCACTATGAACAACATTGCCTCAGCGTTATGTGAGTTTTGTGCAGAAGACCCCAATCTGTTCTCTGTGGAGATCTCTTCCCAGAACATAACACCCCAGGATTATTGGCCCAATCTACCTTTGGGTCACACAGTCCCTCAGAACAACTACTTGAGCTCGCAGAAGGATGTTGTAGGCAGGACTTGTGATGACAGTAACTGAGGGGATGCTGTGAGGATCCAACAACCTCTGTTCCACCCTCAATTGTGTTCTCATCCTTAGAAGGCCTCCTCTGCAGGGGGATATCACAGGCTCTGAGATACACATGAGAAAGTAGAGATTTGGTGGAACTCCTGGTCCAATGCTTGGGCTTAATCAGCCCAAAGAATTCTCTGCTCACTCTTTAATCCTACCATATAAAATGTATCTAGAATATAATAAGCCCTTTTAGAAAATTGTACTTGGAATAGAACTTGGTCACAGGATTTGTGGAACCGCTGTATATTCCACAGTTTATGTCCTGCCCACTGCACTTTCGAGAACATACCAAGGTCTTCACCCAGTGCACTGTCTCTTCCTCAGAGTGGTCAACAATATTGGCACAGTTGTTGAATGAATGAATGAATGAATGAATGAATGAATGAGTTCCCCTATGTAATCACTTCATGCTTCTCTCACTTAGGAATACAACAAGTGTACATTCTTGATACAATGGGAAAGTACCACGAAAAACAGTCCTGGAAAACTAAATATTTTCATGAAAAATTCACCCAGCTACTACTTCTACGTACATCTCATATAAAAGATAAGAAATACCTGGCCAGAGAGAGCTGGATTTATGACTCAGTAGTAGATCAAGGAGATTTGATTGAAATTCAAGACTTATTTGGGCCTGGCCCAGGTACCCAGGAAGAACCTCACACAGTCATACTATATGGGGCTGCTGGAACTGGGAAATCAACACTGGCCAGGCAGGTGAGAGGAGCCTGGGAGGAAGGACGGCTATACAGGGACCGCTTCCAGTATGTCTTCTATTTCAACTACAGAGAGCTGACCCAGTACAAGTTGAACAGCCTGGAGGAGCTCATGATAACAGACTGGGAGTCATTTGCAGTTCCCATCAAGAATATCCTATCTTGTCCAGAACAGGTGCTCTTCATCATGGACAATGTGGATCAGCCGATAACAAACCTGGAAACTCTTGGTTCTGAGCACCATCCACAGGGGAGATATTCACATCCTGCACCTCCAAAGCTGGGCCATTTACTAGGGCCAGACTTGCTTTGCAGGGCTTATTTTCTGATCACAGCTCGGACCACATCTCTGGAAATATTCACTTGTAATTGGGAAGATGCCTATTGGGTAGAAGTCCTAGGTTTCTCTGAGTCTGGAAGGAAGGACTATTTCAGGAACTATTTCCCAGATGAAAGCCAATCAATTATAGCATTTAGTTTGGTTGAACCAAACCCTTTTCTCTTGACACAGTGTCTTGTGCCCTGGGTGTGCTGGCTGGTTTGCACCTGCCTGAAGCAGCAGATGGAGCAGGGAAAAACATGCCCATTGACCTGCCACACCACCACAGGCCTCTTTCTCCACTACCTTTCCCAGGCTCTCCCAGTTCCATTCCAAGAGTTTCAGTTCAGAAAACTATGTTCTCTAGCTGCTAAAGACACCTGGCAAGAAAAGCTCTTTTTTAGTGCAGATGAATTCAGGCCCAGGTTAGAAAATGTCATCATTTTTAGTTACCTGGAGACAGGCTTAGGGATAATGCACCATAGTACTCTGAGAGAGATCATCAGTCATCAGCTTTTCCAGGAGTTTTTTGCTGCAGTGATCTTTGTGTTGGAAAATGAAAATCTTATGAATAAATGTGATTTTGAACTCACATGGATGAAAACTTGGCTAAAATTACATCCATGGCATGACCTGTCCAGAATCTTGTGTTTCCTATTTGGCCTTTTTAGTGAACAGGGGACAAAGGAAATGGAGAAGATCTTTTCATGCCAGCTACCTCCTGGAAGGAAGCAGAAGGTGGTTCAGCACATCAAGGGGGAGAACTTACTTCCATCACGATTCTCTCTGAACTTCCTGCACTGTTTATATGAGACTCAAGATGAGGAGCTCATGACACAGGAAATGGCTGATTTCCAGGAAACCAGGGTGTGTGTCCGTACACACAGGGAACTCCTGCTGGTCACTTTTTGTGTTAAATTCTGCGACCACATGACATGGTTTCAACTGAATGAGAGTGAACTGCAGAAAAGAGAACGGAGAGGCCCTGGGATACATCTGTGAGTATGCCTTTTCACCCTGCTCTGTGTTGCTTCGTTCTTCCCATGAAACTGCATACCCTGAGCAGAAAAGCATGATCACTAATACTGATTTTAAGAAGAACAGCTGCAAACCACTTCTGACAGCTCACTGCCGAATTTGACTATCATTCCCTGGCACCCTGCATGCTCCACATGCTTGGCCCTGTAACAGAGCCTTCCCTTTTCCTAGTGCCTGTCTTCCTACCTCTGTGAAAACTACAAGGCTTCTCTGCTGGACACTCTGCCACTTTCACACTTACTTCCTCTTGGCCTACACGTTCTCCTGCAATCAAGCAGCCCTCTACCTCCTCCTCTTATGTAAGGCTTTTTCCTTGAGACCTTTTGCATTCAGCTGCCACAGAAGCATCATGACAATGACATTGGACCTGAGATCTTCCTCCATTACCACAGAATGCATGTGTCTCAGAGATAGCCCCTTAATTTTGCCTACAAAACTGACATCCTGAAGTAGATTTCATTAACACTCCTGCAATCCCACCAATACTGAATTTCCATGTCCAAGCTCCTAGTCTACATGGCAATATTGATCATTCATTATATGTGTGTGTCTATCTTTCTCTTTATACATTCACTCATGAATATCCAATGGAAACTGACTTGGGACTGAGGATGTGGCTCAGATGAAGAGGGATCTCCTACTATGTGGAAGGCCCTGGGCTCTGTTCCCAGAACAGAAAAAGAAAAACACATTGACTATAAACCAGATGCTATAAATCACAACACGTACACATACACACACCCCAAAATTCTGCCCTAAGGAATTCCACAATGGGAAAATATATAGGTATCTATCCTATAATTGAGATAGAGTAACACCTGCAATAACACAAGTGTAAACAAATTCCCATAATGACCCAAGAAGGGAATGAATACCTACAAGGACAACAAAAGAATGGATTTTTTTCTTTTTTTTTTTCTTTTTTTTTGGGGGGGTGTGCATTTTTATATATTTATTTTTTTCCCAAACCAAATTGGTAGGACAGTTTCAATAATTAACATTTATTGAAACTGTCCTACCAATTTGGTTTGAAAAAAAAAAAGATATCATGTCTGAATCTCGTCCTCTGAATAACTACTATGAAGACAACAATATGCAATGTATTAATTATGGTAACTGTCCAACTAACCTGTTTAGAAACTATTTCATTGCTGTTTTTTCCCATTAAAATGAATAAAAATTTAAAAAATAATAATAATTAACATATTGCATACACTCTTCCTAGTGGTTATTTGCTGTACAAGATGCAGACCTAATTTCATATTATGAACACTACTACAGCAAATCCCTCTATTCATTAAGAGAATGTAACTATATACCTATCCTAACCATTTTGAATACAGAGATACAAAACGGACATTCACCTGTATCCCCTTTTTTGTTACTTCTGTCACTTCAATATTATAGGTGTGTTAACTCAACAAAATGTTCTAAAAGAGTATAGTAGTCCATAATAGTATTGGGTCTTCCGCTTCACTGGCAATGTCAGAAATTGGTGACCTGAGTCTCCTACAGTTCAACATAACAGCATGGCTTTACTTCTTATACTTCATTTTTATACCTTTCTGCTGGATGGTTAAGACCAAGGTAAAGCAGGATCTATGCAACAAGAGTTGTACATTTTGGAACTGATAAGGTCAGTGAAATCCCCTTAGGATTTATAGTGAGATTCCATACCTCAGATTGTAGATCCGTTGTCAGTGTCAGCCATGTGGATGAGTCATGGCCATTGTTTGGCCAATGTGCTCTCTGTGAAAGCCTAAGAGAATGTTTTCTCTCCATGTGACTCTCCTTAGGCATACTGTGCTTCATTGATCACTTTCTTCTTTTGCCCCATAATCTCCTTGATCAGAAAATTTGGGACACTACTGAGTTACATGTCATTACAGTGCAAGTTTTCATATGTCCTGAGACTTAATTGAAATTGGAAGGCTAGGGCCAAAATGTTGTTTTTCCCGGTAGCCCTCTTTTTTCTCTAATTTTGGTCTGCAAACTTATATTGTTAACTATCCAGAAGAGAAGCTTATTGTTATTACCATACAACCTAGGCTGTTAAGTTTAATCTTACTATCTGTCTGAATATCAAACATCTTTGGAATAACATGGAACAGGTATTTTTCATCAAGTTTTGATAGGTTGAACTTTAAGTCCCTACAGAATATGATGAAAAAACATTTAAAAATTAGAATATATTTTAAAAATAGGCATAAAGAATTATATAATTCACATGTTTACACATAAGACCAGAAATCTAAGCATATACAACCTTGAAGCAGGATAGTCCCACAACATTCCTTTTCCTGTCTCCTGCCTTCTTTCACCACCCCCTTCTTTTGGAAAAATCACCTAACCAACAGAAAGCATAGCACCATTTGGCATGTCATGACAAGCAGCCCGTATTCAGAAGACCAGAATGACAGGCACTGCAAGCATGAACCTACTATTACAATTTGCCATCTTCAGTGCAGTCACTTAGTTCACAGTTGTGAGTTAGTCAGGGTGAGAATCTTTCCAATTAATTGGGACATTCAAAAATCTGAAGATCATCAGGATCATTGCCTTGCCCATCTTCTACATATAACAGTATGGCTTGCACTTTCATCTTTCCTAGCTCTTCTCCTTTCCCTATCTTAATTCGTCCTTGAGATCTTCTTTCCTTTTACTTGTATTATATCTTTTGATTTGTATTTCTTCTTTGAGTTTTTATACTAGAGAAACTATATGATATTTATACATCTGTGTCTATGTATTTAACTTATGAGTATATCTTCAACTGCCATCCACTTCAATATAAAGGCTTGGAGTTTATCATTCTTTATAGCTGAGTAATGCTTCATTGTGTACAAATACCACATCTTTTTCAACCATTCCTCAGGTGATGGGCATCTTGGTTGTTTCCAAGATTTGGCTGTCACAAATTGTGCTGCTATAAACAGAGGCACACATATATCACTCAGATAAGATGTTTTCAGATCCTTGGGTAAATTCCCAGTACAGGAATAACTGGATTAAAGGAATTTCCAGTCCAAATTTTCTAAGGAGTCTCCATACTGACTTCTATAATGGTTGCACCAGTCTACATTCCCTCCAAGAGTGGAGAAGGCTTCCTTTTTCCCCACAGCCTCACCAATATTTGTTGTTGGTTGATCTTTAAGATAGCCATCTTTTTGGGGGTGAGATGATATCTCAATGTTGTTTTAAATTTGAATTTATCAGATGGCTAGTGATGTGCAGCATTTTTTCATGTATTTATTCATTTCTTTAATTTCATCCTCTGAGAAGTGTGTGTTCATCTTGGATGTCCACTTCTGAACTAAGTATTTAAATTTTGGGCTCTAGTGGGTTTTAGTACTTTATAAATTCTAGAGAGCAGACCTTTGTATGAGTACTCATTTGTCATGCATTTTTCCAAATTTGTGGGATGTCTTTTCACTTTGTTGGTAATTTATTTAGACATGAAATAACTTATCAATAAGAGCAGGTCCGAGTTGTTAATTCTTTCAAGTGTTTCCTGAGCGATTTGATTTTTGTTCATGAACTCTTTACCCCTGTGTCTTCAAGATTTCCTCTTACTTTCTCTTCCAGGAGATTTAGAGTCTCTGTATTAATGTTTAGATCTTTAATCCATTTTGACTATAGTTTAGTGCATGGTGATAGACCTGGGTCAAGTTTTAGTTTTGGGGGTGCCGGGGAGATGGCTCAGTGGAATAAGCACTTCCCTAGCAAGCATAAGGGCCT